TCTATGCCTGAAATAGCGTGGCTTGTTGCAATATGAAATGTTGACAGTTTTCTGAAAAGTTGTGTATTGGATCCGCATAAACTGGATATATTTTATTAAAAACTCAGCAAAGCGATGCGCAAAGAGCAAAGCTAAGCCATCGCGACAACCAAATGCAACATATCATTCTGTACTTCATTTCAACCCACCTCAGCTCCCTCTTGGCTTCATCTACGAGAAAAAGAGTGACCATTTCGCAATCTAGCAGCTGCAGGGCGACCTCTCGAGCGTTGCACATTGTTTTCTCGATGTCCAAATCCGAGCTTAAGTCGTTAACGAGTCGTATTGCCTGCATAAGTGCCACACACCAGAATCAGGCCTCTGTACGGCTTGTACCGTTTGCATCATGCCCGCTGCACAATAGAAGTTACAAACCAAGTAGAACTTATTCCCAAGGAAGCGCACCTACAATTCACCCAACACGCAGGACAGTCCCCATTTCTGACCCACCCAATTCCTCTGATAGTGACATCTAAGCGCGAAGAGCTCGTTTTTGGGCCTCTCAATTTCATACTTAGGCTCTTTGCAGCTATTTTACATTTAACCTCAGCTGCTCAATCCATGCAGCACTAGATCTTTGACGCTTTCGCCGGCTGAATATCTACGACACCCGCAACAAATATAGCTGGGCATGCTGAAGGTGCGCAGGCGCTGTTGGGAGGGGTTCGCATACTGGCAGGTTGGCCTGCAAACGCGCGTCCTGGAAGCAGGCAGCAAAGGCCCATATCGGGAAGACTGGCGGTTCTCGAGATCTTGGAATCTGGGCAGTTTCAATCCATGCCAACACGCCCTTTTTTGATGTTGACATTGTGCATGTCGAATCCTCATTGTAATAACATTTGCCAGAAGACCAAGCCAGAGCCCTTGCAACAAACTGCTGATGTCGGCCAATGGGCCAAAGGACATGTTTTGGTTCGACCCACAGTATTTGTTCACCACCACGGTCTGCTCGACTCCCAGCAGCAATTCAGCGGGCAGAGCCTGCCCACCTTCTGGGTTCTGAGCATGATGCTGTGCAGCTCCTGCACGAGGGCCCTCTGCTCCTCGTGCTTTCCTGTGTCGTACAGGGTCATCAGCGACTCGCTGCCACGAGCGAGAGTCTCGCGAATCTTCTGATGTCTCTTGTCGTCCATGCTGATGCCCACGGCCAGGTCGGCGAGCGGTTGCTGTAAACAGAAGAAATCCCCACATCAGTTCTGAAAGAACACATTGTGCATTGGCAGGTTGCTTTTATACTCCGCTACAGTGGAAGTGGCAATACTTCCACAAATCGTTGCGGTACTACAGCAATAGCGTTTCTATTCTTTCCTCATTCTTCTTGTTATATATCTTAAGAATCATTATGCCCATACACACATTGTATATCACATTTCAGATATGTAATTTACAATAATAGTATATGTTGCGACACGTTTTCGTGCGGCGTATGATCGACCATTCCACACCGGGGATTGGAATTAAGTCTGAGCTGCATAATTCATTGGGAGCTCGGATTGGGATGAAAAAACTCTGACTGATAAAAAAAGTTGTGCCATGGTGAGAACGACGACACCGCTGTTTGGGGGCCCGCAGAGGGGGTGCTCATCGTCCATTGTTGACTAAACGGCACGTGTGGAATTGCCGTATTGGTATTATGCCAATACGCCGTCGTCCATGACACGCAACGGTGAATTCATTGCCTAGGATTTCGCTCTACCATGAGCCTGGTCTTGCTGGAACATCGCCGCGTTTTGGGCCAGGTGGGCACCACAATACTGGTGTTTGTTCTTACTGCCTTCTGTTGCTGCCACTCTTTCTGCGTCTTGCAATACGTCTCAAAGGAAACTGAAAATAATGATCAGAATAATGCGGAAAGAAATAGAAGTGTTGTTGCTGCAGTAGTCGCACGACTAAGTAAAGTGTCGTAATTTCTACTGTAGTAGAGTATCACAGCAACCTGCCAATGCACGATGTGAGCACTCTACAGCTGAGATAGCAGGCACATGTTTCAATGCAATGCTTTGCTGCCGGCGATCGCGTTGCAGAGGCGGGGGTCGTGTTCTGCTCGCGTCCCCTTTGATCGCCTGCTGCATTTGAAAGGAAATTCCCGCGCGATGACGGTCGTCCACTGCCTGTGTTCGCCAAAACAGTCATACCGGACCGCACGCAGTAAGCGCAAAGTTGCTGTCAGCCGCGAATAGCACTTCTGAACCGCCCTGCCACTGTGCACCGGCCTCTCCGGGCCAGACCCTTGAAAATTCCCCGCCCCGCTCCGAGCGGCGAGGCAGCGAACTGACAACGGCTTCCGCGGCACGATCAGCTTAATTTTTCAGAGCACAAGTCCGTGCCCAGGCCTGCAGTTCGGCAAACAAGTCGACGAGAAAAGCCCAAACGCAAGCCGGAGTCCTGCGAGCCCGACGAAGAGCGCCTCCGTGGGTCAGTTCGCCACGCCCCTAAAGCCTGGAAACTTGAACGCACTTCCGTGCCTGCCAAGCCAGCTGCCGCCTGCGTTGCCTCCCTGCACAGCCGCTTCTGCGCGAGGGGCCCTCTACATACCTTGACCGTCGCCCGGGTGGTGGAAGGGACGCATCCCATGACTCCCGTGCCTTGGGCACAAGGCGGAGAGACGGGGAGCAGGAGGGGCAGCTCGAGGGCGGCCTCCCTGCACCGGACGGCTGCCCCCAACCTGGTGGCGATGGGGGCGCTAGCGCCCGGGGGCTGAGGCGCCCGAAGAAGGAGCGGACATTGGCGTCGGATTCCGTAGGCGGACCCCTGCACAGGTCCGCGGCGACCTGCTTGAGCCTGGCCACTCCTTGCCATGATATGCATTACTTTTTAATTGAATCCTGGACTTGTGGACATAATGGGCGCATGTCCGAAGAAAATACCAGTTGATGCGATACTGGAATCGCAAGGTGGAATTTCCCAACTCTCGGGTTCACGGCGCCATTTTCAAGTCCGGGTTTCGACAATTCTCAGCCAATCCTCGACCATGGTATGGACGACCACTGCCTTTTGTCATCGATTCTGTCCTGACTTGAGTTCAATGGAAGCTACACCAGTTGATGTACAGTCATTTCAAAGGATCTGCAAACGCGTCCACATTGCCAGTGTCTTCCCCAACCAATCTTCAAGGATTCAGCGATGGTATAAACACATCAAGCCAGTCTACCAATATGAACGATTCCTGTCGTCATTACCGCCTATGTCCTTGACAACGTTCTTCCTGCGATTTCGTTGGAGTGCACTTTTTGGAAATTGTGAAACAATGACACCAAACATGACAATCCTTTCCAGAATTTTCAAGGCGATTGTGCCCTCTATGTCACTTGCCTCCAGAGGACGAGATCCGTTTTCTCTTCCACTGCCGCGCCTATGGTAGCAACCACTCCTGTGTTTTTCGATGTCACAATGCAAAAACGCGCTCCTTGCTTCAGTTCCTGCACGCCAACTGACAAGGACACTTCTTTTGATGTATTGTCATCGACAATCCCTTCTAGGCATTAGAGGTTGATAGACTCATAGACTGTGTTTGTGTTTAAGATTAGATTTCAAATGATGATTTCAAAAATCATGATGATGATGATGATGATGTTTAAGATTAGATTTCAACGACCTGATTACAGACGCTGCTTTGCTCGGGCAAAATAGGAAGCTGACGGCTACCTCGTTGCCTTGTTATGTAAAAAACAATGATGAAGAAAATACCGGCGGAGCGGGTGTTCAAGGTGCTTGAAAAATGATGGTGATGACGTGCTCGACGCTTTGGGCTGCTGATTGCAAAAAAAACGCATCTCTTTCGGCTGGACGGCGAGCCTGACGATCATCAGAAAGTTGCAGAAAATTCGCATTACTGCAGCAGTCGCATCCAGCTGTATTGGCCATTGTACAATGGCGGCTGCGCAGAAGACGAAGGTGGCGTCTGTGGCGCACAATCCCTGTGAGTTGGTTCGCCGATACATTGCTGCGGACGACTTCCACGCCTCGACGTGCCAGGAATGCCCTGCAGGAACTTGCGATGTGGGTGCTGAACACGTGCCTGAAATCCGGATATGTGCTCCATACCGGCAGGCGCTGGAATTGCTGATTGGTCTCCAACATCACAAAAAGGAATCCGTGGTCTGTAAGCTTTCCAACATCTCTGGGAGCGGCCAACAGCCAGAGGAAGTCACGCAAATCACTCTCGTTTCCGGATGGCAGATGAAGACAGCATTCACAGCGTACTCATTGGGTGAGAACATGGAAACTGACGCCTACCTCCTTGCCTTCGTGTGCAGTATTTCTTGAATAGCAACAAGAGAAATAGCCTTTATAAGGGGGCTTAATATGTAAAATATAATGGGCTTAATTAAGGGGCAGGCGCACTGTTATTCATCTTTTCTAATTGCGCTGTGAAGCTTTCATTTTTGACAAGTGACAAAAAAACAGGATTGCTCGCAAGGGAAGCAATTTCACCAGCGTTCTATATCACTGCTACAGGCAAGGCCGACTCAATACAATGTGCAAAATCAGGACGGTTGTCACCGAGACGATGGAACTCCTGATGGTCATCAAGATCGCCAGATCGGCTTGTGCAATCTGATGAACATACAGCGATATTGCAGCCCGGGGCACGCCATGATGCAGGCATGAGATGGCTCACATGCCACTAAAACCAACAAACATCTAAAGTCAGTGCCTTTCGGTATCAAAGCTGCCAGCCACCAGCATCCATGCCATTTTCGAATGCACGATTCACGCTGTATGAGACCAGCCAGAACAACCCATTAAAAGTGGGCAAGGAGAGGAACCCCCCGGCTGTGACTGCTGTCACCGATCCCCTTTGATAGTTAGCACAATGACACCAAGCACCACCAGTGCATCAGCGATGAATGGACGTCAGGCAACTACACTCTGTGCCACTTCAATGTTAGTGAACCAATGAACCCAACAGCGATGGCCTGTGCATGCTTCAGACCAGCCCGTCCCCTCAGCAGATGCGCCTATTCCAATCCCACCCCCCCACTGGCAAATTCCTGAACACGAGGAACAGCAAGGGCTGACACCCAGTCGGATGCATGGGTCGGCATCAGGCCCATTGCATTCAGCCTGTTGAGGGCAAAGCCAAGCTGTGCAGCATGGATGATGCAGTACACCACGCGGGGGCTGAAGGTGTCCAACTTGCCCTGGGGATCGGCAGGGAACACTGCAAGTCGCCAAAAAACACAGAAGGGTCATTTCTTCTGTTCATTGGGACTTGGTACTCCCTGATGGATGAGCTGTTGCGATGTTGCCAACGTCACCCTTCACCAACTTGTGCCAGGCATGCTTGGCGATGAGTTGATGAAGGCTATCAAATACACATGGTGGGGAGTGGTAGGTCTGGCCCTGATGAAGGGTGGCAAGGCATGGACACAGCTGATGAGGAAAGAATGGTCAAGTGGTGGCAAACATAATGGCAGTTTGCTTCTCTTCACCTCCCTATTAGTTTTCCATCTCGTTGAGGGTCTCACGGGAAAACATGTGGGAGAAGGGCTAATTGACATCATGCTGCTCCGTATGAAATGCAAGGGATGTAAACGTCAATTCACATCAGTACCAAAAGGGCGATGGTGACAATGCCAACTGACTATGAATTGTCAAAATGCAGCAAACACTGCAGAATTTGCAGGGTTGGGAATAATGTTGGTACATAAGCAAAAGCAGAAAGTAAACAGGATGCCAAAAAGGGAGGCAGGGCAATGCAGCGAAAGAAGAGCTCTGCTTCAGACAAGAGCCTTTCTGATCATCGAATCCTGCAACCGACTGACTGCCTTGTGCATATGTATACTCATTCTGCAGTTAGGCTCCTAGTTGCATGCCATACTTGCTCTGTGTCAGTGTCTGTGGGCAGGGACCCCAGAATAGGGCAAAATGAGGCAGTGGATACAACCACTGGAAACGACAATGATCTGGACCGTTGATTCAAGAAGTGGACAGGAATTTTGAAACTTAGGCCGGCCAAATGGGGAAAATTTATAGGAGCAGCATAAAATACAAAAGAAAGTCACCAGCGTCACAACATAGAAAATCCACAATTTCGTCAACAACTCCACAATCGCCACAAAGGACCCCTTGAGCTCTCTGAGTGGCCTGTGACTGCTCAACAACCAGACATCCCTCTTCCCACCGATCAGAGCAGGTGGAGAGCTGTGAGACAGGCTAAGAAGCATTAACCACTCAGCCATCAAGCACCCAACATGGCGCTACCAGAGGGCAGTACTTTAGGGTGGATAACAATGCCATGTCATGGATATTTATGTGCCTGTACCCTCAGGAGAAGTGTGGGTACTGAGAGGTGGATAGTAAGATTGGGTCACTACAGTAGTATATTGGGACGACTGGCACTCTGACAGCACATTGGAAACCACCAGAGCTTAAGGCTTTGGATGAAAGACCGCAAAAGGAAAGCCGCACAGAAGTCATACAACAGGCATCAGGAGAATAGGTGACAACACAGGGTGCTATTGTTATTTGGAGAGGATCATTCTGTCGACAGCCATTCCAGCAATATAATAGCCAACGTGGAGGGATCGACCAGTGCTTATTTGTGGTTTCTTAATTACTCAAGATGTTGAAACAGTAAGGTGACACGCCTCTGGCCTCCCCAGACAACCACGGGCATCAGGGCTCTGCTTAGATCGCTGCCCATAACTCCACAGGAGGGAATTGACCGGCTCCTACACGGCAACAGAGTGTTGCTTTATGCTGACGTCTGTGGCACTGCACAAGGTTCACTATGGAGTTGCTCAGAACTCTGAATGGCAGCACCAGTGTGACCAGAAGTATGCCTAGCGCACTCTTGTGTCGAATTTTCGCTCCCCCCACCCCACCCCCCCCTCCTCTTAGATCTCATTGTCCCTTCAGATGCCTCATCGCCGCACCCGACGCACGTACCTTCGCCCGACTTCAGCATCGCCTGTATTGGCCCCGCAATCCCGCTGATCGTCATCATCAGGCTGAAGATCTGTATGCTGGTGCCGCTCATGTACATCATGAAGCACATGAAGGCCACCTGCTTGAAGGGCGCCCGCGCCTTGGCCATCAGGAACGCCTGCCGCTTGGCCGTCTCGTTGGCCTTGCGCTTCTCCGCCGTCGAGGTCACGGACCCAGAGTCCCGAGCCGTGGCGGAGTACCCCGGCGGGTCGGCCACGTGCCGCCCGCCCCCCTCCTCGAACTCCACGTGCCACTTGCGGAACGGCGCCATGCCGAGCGGCCAACAGGCTGTTGGCCGAAGCCCCCCGCTGCAACCAAGACGATTTCCACGAGCGAAGAGGACTCTAGATCTGGAGTTTTTCCCCCCATTTGAGAAAATTTTGGCCGCGTTTGGCCACTTGTTTTTGCGGCCAATTGCCCCATTTGGCACGTGTGCCGGCCGCGTACGCGGCAGAAGCCAGGGGTGACGCCAATTGGCCTTTGCGGGTGTTCGGTGCGGGCGCTGCCGCGCAGCAAGGCGTCCTCCCGCGGGACGCGCGTCCCGCCGCCCCGGGGCTGCAGCGGAGCGCCCCCGCGCGCGAGCCCACGCCATGCGCCGCCTCCCGCGCGCGACAGTCGCGTCGATCCTGCTGGCCTGCGCGCTGCTGGCGGTCGCCCGCCCCGCGCTCGCCCAAGACCCCGCGCCGGCGGGGACGGCGCCGAGGTGCTGGAAAGTGAGGGGGAATGGATCGGAGAAGGTGTTTCGGTGCGAGGGGGTGGACGGGTGGCGGCTGGACTACATTTGGAAGCCGCTCATGGTCAACGTGACCTGTGGCAAGGGGGTGAAGGTGGGTGCGGGCCCCGTTGGGCGGAGAACGCCGATGAGCCGGATTTAGACAGGGTGGAATTGATTGGGCCGCGTCGGACGAGGTCCGTGCTCCAGTGGGGTGGGTGGGTGGGTGGGGGGGGGGGGGCTGTTGATTGTTGGGCTCTGCACGTCAGAGGTTGACCAATTGCTTGGTGCAACTGCCGCAATGGAGAATGCGAAAGAGCGATGAGATTTGGGTTTGCGCTGTGGGCGCGTGTGTGATGGGTAGGGGCTTTGGACAGGCGGTATTTGGAGTCTTGGCCGGTGTTTGTCCTCCAATGGCGACGCCAGTTAATGCTTGTCAGCCGGAAGTGCGATCTGGGTCTTCAACTCGAAGCAGCTCTGTTGGGGCCCCCTTGCCCTGTCTATCGTTCGACAGAGCTCGGCACCCTCAGGAAGGCGCACTTCTGACTGATACTGTGCTTCGCACTCGCCAATGCGCACCGCAGCTGTCGGACAACAGATTACTGTGGTGCCGGATCGTCCGGGCCGTGAAACGGAATGGCTCAAACCAGATTGCGTTTGTTGGTTTGGCTGCGTAATAAGAACCTTCCACCAGAGCCCTGCTACTGCTCTGAATGTTTTGAAGATTCAGCTTGGAACCTTTGTGCGAGGTTGCAGTTCGTCCAGAAGCCACATTTGCTATCCTGACCATTCATCAGTGTCCCTGTGTTACTGTCTCTGCAAGCACACATCCATTGTCTACATACACCTGGATGTATCTGGACAGCAGCAAATTGCTGAATTGACCATGCTTAGTAATCACACGTTTCCTAGTGTGTAACTGTTCATATCCATGTGGGAAACAAAATTCGGTGATGAGACCTGGCCCCACAGCCACTGGCATTTCCATCAGGCGTGCAGACATTGGTGCGATGAACGAACCCCGAAATGAGAAGGCACGTGTCAAACAATTTGCATCACCTTGCAGGCACTTTTCCGCTCCGTAAAGATAATGGAGTCATTGCGTGTGCCGCAGCAAAATCATGCACTGCTGAGAATTGATGTGGCAGTGTGTGATTGGATTATTTTGTGCTTTGGACCAGCAGGAGTGTGCAAGTGCTTGTCATTACCACACGGCTGATTTTATTCACCAGAAGTGGACAGTTTGACAAAGCAGAAACGAGATAATGACAGCACTGGTAGAGTAGATTGTACACCAATAGTCCACTCCAACATAGCAAACCACCACCCCTCATCAACTGTAGCACACTTTTTCACCATTTTTTTCAAGGGTCTGTCGACTGCTTGGAGACCTGGACAGAAATGCTTGCATCTGGGTTGGACAGAGCTCTGTTGCATCTGTAGAAGGTGACCAGTATGCACGAAGAATTTTGCATATGCAGGAGTTGAACATGCAAATCACAACACTAGCAAAAGCTTCAGCCATGGTGTGGCACAAACTTTTTTATTGCTGGTGAAGGCACCCATGCAGAAGAGAGAAGCTTACGTGTTTGAAGCACTGTCCTGTGTCTATTGGCTTTATGTTCTCTCCTGTCTTCCCTCCCACACTTGTTTGTACAGCAGCCACGTTGCTTCTTGCTAGAAGTTGCATCATCAGCATCTACGGCATCTGTAAGGCCGATGGTCAATATGTCTTACCTTTCCAGTGCATTTGAAATTGCAAGTACACCAGTTTGAGTCCAGTGGCCATTTCCTTCTATTAATTTCAGCACACAAAGGCGACTGAGCGAACACTGGATGTCTTGGATTTCTCCTACAGCTCTTGGTGCATATCAGCGTGACCATCATTGGGAGTGCTGCACTATTATTCTTATGTTCTTCTAATATTAAAGGAGATGTAGAATAAGGAGATTGAATAATATTATCCTTGATTCTTATCAACTCCGTTTGGCTTCCTGTGGGCCTGTACAAAAGCCGCTGTGGGACGTTGTTGTGGAACGAAAATTGCTTGTCAGAAGCGATGCACTGCATCACAAGTTGGGTAGATTGGCCTTGTCTAACTGTTGTGGAGAGTGTGTTGCTTTGGACTGTGATATGCATCTGCTGTTGCAAAAGTCTTGGCTGTTGTCCAATTGGTCCAAACAAAGGACGCGATTAGTGAGTCAAAAAATTTGGCTGAAACAGCTTCGATGCACCTCGTTGAGAGCTATTTGTAGAGTCCTCAAACAGAATAAACACCAATACCATTCTCTTGATATGTCAAGAGGAGGTAAACTGGCATTTTTCCTTAGGGTGGGAGCCAAACTGGGCCACGGCAAGCTTGTCTTGCCATTCCATAGAGGTTGATCTTGCTGAGCTACCCCTAGCGGAGATGTATGACTTGATGGTTTGGTGTACACAAAGGATGCAGCTAGATTCCAAACAGAGTCCACAATAGAAAGATTGCAGGGCTACGGCAGTTGGGGTGTTGACAAGTACTGTGCGAATGTTGAGGCCGAAGGCCATGAAACACCTTGATCTGTGTAAGAACATCAACCTGGTAAATGTAACAAGGTGTGGAAACTTGTGCATGGTCGTGCCAACCAAATAGACGGCTTCGTTTGAGCCACACATGACCAATCGTTGAAAATTGATAGCTTAGGAAACGCATGTCAGCACAATGGAAGAGATGGTCCGCAAAGGGTATGAAAGCAATTGTGCCAAAACTCTTGAAAGGGTGTGGTAACACTCATTTGTTGTCTAAAACAAGGTTCTTGAGGAATTTGGGGACATCTATTGGAACACACTGGGACACAGCGAGGACAAACCTGCTAGGAAGTGAGGCCCCGATGGAAATGGACACTTTTGTGGGACACTTTTGACAAAACTGCGATTTTTTTGCTGTATGGTGGTGGCAATATCATCGTGATCCATATCAACACAAATGGACCAAGCAATACGATTTTTGATGGCAGGTTGACTACCAGAGTTGATCTTGCAAGGTCATACCCAGATTGGATAGCAGACAAGACATCTGTAACAGAGGCAGTATACAAGTAGCTAAGGCACACTGGGATGAGGATTGCTGCCTGGAGATTCAGATGTGGCTATTTGCCAATGTGAACAAAAGTTGTCACAAATATGAGTGCCCATGCAATTTGAAACAACTGTCCGCTGGCTGTTATTGGTTATAACAATGTAGGTAGGGTGAAGGTGGCAACCATGTAGACAAAGCCAGAACCTAACAAGCGAGGTCTAACAGTATGTCTGTATGTGCAACAGTTTTCTTTATTCACTGCAAGCTCAGAGGAAAAGTCGGCCGAAGAGGAGAATCAGGTTCAGTGGTGTGGTTACCAAAACCTCCTCAGGCGCGAGTCCTGTGTCACTGCACTCTCCCCATACAAGGACGCATATGTTGCTGTGCGTCCGCTTCGCTCTGCTGCATTCCAGAAAGGTACTGGACAGAATGGCATGGCTCTCTATTCTCCAAGTCTGCTGTGTATCTGTTGGGACTCGGCATGGGTAAACAGGGGATTGGGGTGGTTGATGCCACTGATTTCCTTCTCGTTGTCTATATGCTGGGTACAGAGATGGGGGATGAAGTCGTTGGTTCTGCTAAGACATGCCTCACTCATCTGTATCCTCACCAACTTGTACATGGCGCAACACTTTGCCTTCCAGGCCGAGTACGAAGGCTCTGATGTGTCCACTGAGAACCCTGATAATTTGGTTGTAAAATGCATGCTGCCAAACAAGCAGCAACAGTTTTGGTGGCCCAGAGGACATTGCTTGGCATATTGCCTGTGCACTCACCAGAGTATGCTGCAGAAGCATAGTGCTGCATTGGCGGCGGCTGGTTTCCGAGAAGTTGGTGATCGCGCTATCTGGATGTGGTATCCCGTTCATTGACAAGTGGGCCAGCACCACTTGGCTATGAACGTATTCCTGTGTGCAAGTTGGTGCGCGTTGTCTGTGTCTCGGCTGCTTTGCAACCTGTTAATGAAGTGGGTCATCAAAATGGCATGTTCTGTTGTGCACAGGGTCCATTGAGGATTGTGAGCTCTCCACCACTGCCAATGTGAGCTGGAGCACCCTCGTTCTGGCATTTTTGGGCCTGGGTTTGTTCCTGTTCTCCAACACATTGAGCCAGTCGACGACGTTCCGTTTGACAAGTGGAAGTGTCATCATCATGTTGACATCAGTGATCATACTTGTTTTCATGATGATGAGGTGAGGCGAACCAAGGGGGTCCTTCCGACAAGTTTGGGTGCTTGTGGTATTGTGCCTGCTGGTGTCACTCATATCCGTCCTTGTTCCTGCTTGCCTTCTCCCGCTATGTCTGAGACACAGTGGCCAACTTGCTACGACAATTGTCTCGTGAGCTGCCCAGGAGCAGCAAAGCCCAGCACCTTACCCCACCCTCTAGCTGGGTAGGGGCAGCTCCAATCTCAGAAATGCCTCACTATCCTGTGGCCGTCTGCACTGCGTCATCAGGACCAACCCCAAACTGTCTTTGTGAATATGGAACTATGTTGTATGCAGTCAGTTGTTACGTGGAGCCATCAAAGCAGATCAGACCAAATTATCAGATCAGACGTGGCGATTTTTCATGCAAGACATACATGCAACCATTAAAGGGATAGCTGGCACGCAAGAGTGGGAGCATCCCGTTCCTTTGTCCTTGCATTACATTTGGCAACTTGTCTCAAAGTTCTCTACAGTTGCATTGTTTTCAAACTTCGCACTTCGCTTTGTTTTAGAGCTTGTATTCTTATCCAACAAAATGCCTGCAATTTGCAAAGCCAACTCTTATGTGCGTCGTGCAGTTTCATCCTTTGAGTCAGTCAAGTCGCTTTTCCTATTGATGTGTGCAAGGTTGCTCTGGCTAGTAGACAGGTAGCATATTGTTCAATTGATGTCCCTAGACTGTCTGACCAGTAGTTTTTGTGGGACTCCTTTTAATCCTGTAGAGGATGCATTCGGTAAGTGAACTCAGCTGTATGCAATAGATCACTAAGGACGAGACTGTTTACAGGGCTTGATTGAATGTTGGTGGGTTTTCGTTGGTTGCCAGCCATTGCGTTTAGCAATATCACTTCCCACCGCTATCACTTGTTGGCATAGTTGTGTCTGCATCAAAGGTGCCCATTTCCAGAGGGCTGTTGGCACTTTTTGACGATCCAAGACTTGTATGACCACAATGAAAATTGAATCCGAAATGTGTTCAACGCTCGTCCTTATCCTGGTCGATGTGGTTTTCCAATCGATGGCTGCTCTTGCGGCGACTGTACCTACGCATGCAGAGGGAGGCTGCAAATTGTCCTGGGCAGTGGCCTCCACTGTTTCAATTCCTTAACACCCCCCACCCCGTCCGCGGCCCCCTCTCTTGTACATGGACGCTTATTTGCAGACGGAGCAAGGAGATTTTGATGCATGCTCCATTGTCAAGCCCATGCCTCTGCTCAGCAACATCTCCGCACAGCATTGCCAGGGGCGTGCCTGATGGTGCCTCTCGTGTCCACAGATCGGTGCCCCAAAGCCGCCGCATATTCGCCCTCCTGGCGCTCGTGTGCGCCGGCAGCTTCGCGGCCTTCGAGATGCTATGGGCACACGGGGCGCCCTCCCTCATCTCCCTCCTGTCCAGCAGAATCGTCATGGCCTACGCCGTCGCCAGCGGCCTGGCGGGCCTCGCGGTGACGTACTACTTCGACGACCCCGCGAATGTCAAGCTCACGCGAATCATGCAGGTGGGCCTCCAGCTTATCGGCCTGGCGTGCATTTACTGCAGCCTGGTGCAAGGAGAGTGGGGGGTTGCCGCCGTCGCGGCCTTGGTTGGCTGGGAGTACGTCATGGGGCCGGCCGCGAGCTGGGTGCGCCGCACGCGCCCGTCCTGGCTGCCGCTCAGGCCGTGGGCGCGCAAGACCGCACCCGCAGCCCAGCCAGCGGCGCACAGGCTTAACGGCGGAGCTGAGCGCGAGAAGGGAGGCCCCTCCCCGCGCGAGGAGGCGACGACGGCCGAGGAGGAGACGAGGAGGAGGAAGAAGGCCGCAGATGTGCTGATATTCGAGCGGCGCAGCAACGAGTTTGTGGGTGGTTCGTCCAGCACGGCGTTCGTCGAGCTGCAGAATTGGCGGGTGCAAGGGGTGGCCAAAACGCCCGCCACGCCTGCCGCAAAGCCCGCTGCAAAACCTGCGGCAAAGGTCGCCGCCAAAGCCGTCAAGGCCAAGGCCGGCAGGATGAGCCTGCCGGCCGCGCAGCCGAAGCCGTGGCCGGGGAGCGACGGGGGCGACGACGACGACGTCAGTCCGATTGTGCGGACAGGGAGGATATTTAATCCGGAGTCGGGCAGGGCGATCCAGATAGGCAAGAAGCGGTACCAGGAGCTGGTGGAGGAGGGGTACACGCCCAATTTGAAGGACGGCGTGCTGGTGAGGCCGTCGGAGAGGGCGGTGTGAGAGCGGTGCATGGATTGCGGGTGGAAATAGAGGCTTGGAGGTGACGTCACCAATCAATCAACATATTACATTTCAAGGCAGGACGCAGCGCAGCCAAGAACGCCTTGGGTCCGCCCGCATGACAGCAGGGCCGACTTCAGCAGTTTTGTCCATGTTCGCGGCTTGGCGGGAAGGCACGGGTTCTATTCCTGTAAACTTACACAGAACCTTCCATGGCAGGAAACAGCTTATGTGCAAATCACTTTGAGTGGACAGCGTCGGATGGAGGTCTGGCTGCGAACATGGCAATCGAACAGCAGTCCACACTGACTTTTAGCTCCGACACTTCCAAGTTGTGTGTGGCAAATTCCGTGTAGGCACAGAGGAGATGGCGAGTTTCATCAGTGCACACATGTTAGGGCCAGGAATCTGGTAGTTGTACAGTTGCGTCAGGCTGAGTGCGGAAAACCCACGTTGTGCTGCGGCCTATTGGGATCCCCGCCGCGTTCTCCATAAATGCAGGAGGCCACTGGCGCCGCAGTGTTCGCAGCCTCCCTAAAATGGAGAGCATGGCTGCCTGTCGCGAGTACCCGGGATGGCGGCTTGGGGTACACGTGTTTTGTCGCCTGGCTCATGCATGCAAGCATGGCCAACTGCTCGACTCACAGCGCGGAGAAATTCAGTTGCCATGTCGCGTGTCCATACTCTTTTACGGCACGCTGATGTGCTGAAACAGCGTCGGTGAACGCCGGCGAGGCTTGGTTCTCACACGATGTGGAATCTCTGGACTGGTAGACGCGTTCCTCGTATCAAAACAACGTCACATCTTCACGTGGTCGTGGCGTATGTGCCGTAATCGCCGCCGGCCATCACGCACCTCATGGCGCCTGTGCCGCGGCCGCCGCGTGTTCGTGTATCGCAAGGGTCCCCCCGTCGACGGTCTCGCGTGGTGCGGAGCAAACGATTGGTCGACCGGTCGACTACGGATGCCGCCAGGGGCGCGCTGAGACGGCGCCGAGCGCCCCCGCCAGTACTTTGCCTCAAGGACGCAGCCTTGCAACGCCGTTCACGTTTCCCAGCGTCCCATAACGTTAAATTGGGCCCCGCCAACGTGGAGGCACACGTCCCCCCGCGCCGGCCGCCCTCTTATTCCTCCCCGGGCGGCGGTTTGGCCACAGCACCCAGGTCGGCGAAACGGCCACAGCACCCGGCACAAGGCCTCTCGCGCCCCCGCTGTCTCCCACCGCCGCAATCTCGTGTCATCGGCGGCGGCCTTGCCAACGAGCCAGCCATGGAGCAGTACCTGACTGGCGCCGCGCCCTACAGCATCGCCAACGGCGTACCGTCCAAGCGCGCCGAGCCCAAGGAGCTGTCCGTGGCAGAGCGCGTGGAGGTGAGCCGCGGGCGCGCGTTTTGCATACCGGGCTTAGGTGCTCGATTTGTGAAGATTGAGTGCAGGGAACGGGCGCTCGAATCCTTGTCCGTGACTGGGTTGCGAAACACATCAGGCCTGGTGGGCAAGGGTGCTCGCAGCGCCGGCCGCACGGATCAGGCCGCCTGGGTGTGCCGTGTGCTGGGGGATTGCTGGCGGGGTGGCCCAGACGAGGAATCTCACCGGAATATCATTTGATCATATCGAGGGATGTGTGACAGTGCAGTGCGGAGGCCATCAGACCTGGATCATGCCCCGGCGACCCTGCCAGTGGGATCTCAGCTTAGTATCGCTAGCGAAGGGTGAGATGGGCGAATTTTGGTGTCTGACCAGCCTGTGCGCTCGCTCGCATGGTGCATTGACACTCCCGGGCATCACGCAGGCGCTGTGGGAAAGGGTGAAGAAGCGCGACCCGCACCAGCCCGAGTTCCTGCAGGCGGTCGAGGAGGTCCTCACGACGATGGGGGCCGTGTTTGAGAAACGCCCCGAGCTGGTGACCGTTATGGAGCGCCTGTGCGAGCCCGAGAGGCAGCTCATCTTTCGGGTAAGGGCGTGGGTTGGGTGTGAGGGCGCCAGCCGCGCGCCTCCCGCTGGTCCACGTCCTGCCTGCGCGGACTGTCGTCATCGAACTTGGACCATGCCGAGGGTGGTCATTGGGCCGCTGTGAACTATGAACCTTTGCTGAATTTTAGATTTTGCGTACCGCGGTTGGCGGCGCCGCAAAGTGACGTTCGCGCCTTGGGGTTGGCGGCCGCTGTGGGCGGCACTGTGACGAAGTCCAGTCACGATGCATTTCACAATCTGTCCCGCAGCGATGCGCCTGCAAGTAAATCCACTCGTCACCAACCGAGGTCATGCGACCGTCCGGAAGAATACTGCATTACGAGCGTTTCAGTGTGTCAACATTATTGCAATGCGCTGTGACATCGTGTGGGCCCACAAGACTGAAATGCTCGCAGTTCCCAAGGGGCAAATTTTCATGCTTAAAGCACTCTCCGCCGCGCAACACCAGCACAAATTTTGTCAAGGTTTTGCCGAAAATGCTGTTCCAGAGCGCGTTCCTATCTCCTCTTTGTTCATGCAGGTGCCTTGGCTAGACGACGAGGGAAATGTGCATGTGAACCGCGGCTACCGCGTGCAGTTCAACTCCGCATTGGGGCCGTACAAAGGCGGCCTGCGCTTCCACCCCAGTGTCACGCTTAGCGTCATCAAGTTCCTGGGCTTCGAGCAGATATTCAAAAACAGCCTCACGACGCTGCCACTGGGGGGCGGCAAAGGAGGCAGCGACTTTGATCCAAAGGGGAAGTCTGACAATGAGGTAAGCGGCAGAAACCCATGAAGTTTTACATTTGTGGAAAGTTTTGAAATTCCTCGTTGGCAATCTCTGCCCAGCAAACATGGCGTTGCGCAGTCACATGAACCCAGTGTAGAACAGGGTAATATCACCACACAGATGGGTACTACGTGGGTGTGCTTCCAGCGCTTTCCTCATACAGTCGCCGTCATGCTGGTCGAAAAGTTTTGAAATTCCTCATTGGCAATCTCCGTCCAGCAAACATGGCGTTGCGCAGTCACATGAACCCAGTGTAGAACAGGGTAATATCACCACACAGATGGGTACTACGTGGGTGTGCTTCCAGCGCTTTCCTCATACAGTCACCGTCATGCTGGTCGAAAAGGCTGTCCAAAAGTGCACTGTCGCACACACTGTACTCAACAGGCTGGGACAGAATCATTTACCTGTTGTGTCCTGTTGTTCGAAGGTTTGCATGGCAATGGGCGCTTCATCGCACTCGTAATTATATCCAAATCGTTGTTGTCGCAGATTATGCGGTTCTGCCAGTCTTTCATGACCGAGCTCTTCCGACACATCGGCGCCAATACGGATGTTCCTGCCGGTGACATCGGAGTCGGGGGAAGAGAAGTCGGCTACATGTTCGGCCAGTACAAGAGGCTGGCGAACAACTTCTCCGGGATTCTGACTGGAAAAGGGTGCGTGCAGGATCGAAGTGCCACACGTCGCATTGGCTGCACTTGTCCATGCCTGACACCACTAAAGTGCTCAATTCCCGGCCTGCATCATTCACGAAATTTGAAATGGCAAGGAGAGGTGTCATCCATCAGCTTTCTAATTTGCCCGAGCTGAGCGGCGTCCATGATTTGTTCATTGTTCCAATGCGTTTTTGTTTCCCTCCAAATTTGTTCATCTGCTCATTTGCCCACATGCGGGACCCGTTCGCTGGCCCACAGGTTCAACTGGGGCGGCTCCAACATACGCCCCGAGGCCACGGGCTACGGCGTGGTGTACTTCGCTCGCGAGATCTTGCAGGATGCCGGGGACTCCCTGGAGGGCAAGCGCGTCGCGGTGTCCGGCTCCGGCAACGTGGCGCAGTTCACGGTTGAGAAGCTGCTGGATCTCGGCGCGGTGCCCGTGTCCATGAGCGACTCCTCGGGGTGCGTTATCGAGGAGGACGGATTCACGCGGGAGGGGCTGGCGGCGGTGATGGAGATCAAGAACGTCAGGCGGTCCAGGATCAAGGCGTACCTTGAGGCCTCCAGCACGGCGAAGTTCGTTGAAGGTGGGAGTGGTGCTTGATTGCAGTGGTCGGATAGCGGCATTGCAGTGCGCTTGGTATCCTCATGGTTGGCTCCTGCCCCGCCCGTCGCTGCCTTCACATTCCAAATTGTAAATTCAGTCTGTTGTCACCCACTCACTGGTGTTAGCCATTTTGTTGGACTAGGGGTTTCATTTGAAAGAGAAAATGGTGTGGAGTGTCCACGCCAAACATGCGGTTGATGGTGCTGCTCTCCTCGTGTTCGATTCTTTTGGCCATTTATTTCGTCTGCAGTCCCGTTCCTAACCATTGCAGCTTGGCACATCTGATCTGTTGTTGCCTCCCACTGAAGCACAGCACTTGCGTGGTGCAAACAAAGTGCGTACCAAATCACTTACATCAGTCCTTAGCTGTCTTCGGTCCTTGTATCGCTCTACCTCACTGGCGAAATGAAATCAGAGCTTTCATACAAATCATACAGTGCACCGCGCCCCTGATGCAGTGGAAAAGTCTGGCCGGGCATGTGTTTGACGACCTGGCTGTTCCCATTGATGTTGCCTTCAGGAGAGCGGCCCTGGAAGCACGTGACAGTGGACATCGCCATGCCTGCAGCCACACAGAACGAGCTGGACTTGGAAGACGCCAAAGCGCTGGTCGCTTGTGGCTGCAAGTTGGTGGTGGAGGCTGCCAACATGCCATCCACGCCTGAGGCCATTCACTATCTGCACGAGAACGATGTCCAGTTTGGACCCGCAAAAGCAGCGAACGCTGGTGGGTGCAGACCTCCAGCGCGCTCGCGCCACAGCTGTTCAGTAGCATGCTGCGTTCTCTCATGCTGGGTGCTCCTTGTGCACGTCCTCCAGCAGCACTGTGCTTGTCGTTTTTCTGGTTCCTCTATGGACTCGTTACCCTGTATCTAGTGTATTTTTTGCCATCTGTGTCTATTAGCTTCCCTGGAGGGACACAGGACGCTAGGAGGATTGGAACAGGGCCCTCTTGTCACAGATGGCCGAGGTCTTTCCTGTGCATAGTCATTAGCACGCACAACGTGCACAAATATGGCGAAGGACACCTCCCTGCAGAAAGGCGCACGTCGAACGAGATGCGAGCACGTGCAGCACGTTCGGTGCTCGACCACATCCGACGCAGTAGTCCTTCAACCAAAAATACATGGAAATGCCGTTCATCTTGCGTGTCTTGGAGTACCGCACCAGAAAGTAGTGGTTCAAGTATGTTCTTTCTGCACGAAATCAAAATGGATGTGTTCTACACGTATGCATACTGCTCACGCAGTTGACGACCGTGTAACGACATGTGGGCGAAGCGTGGACGACGCCCGTTGCACTGTCTTCTCCCCTTCCGTTCCATTTCGATCTCAAGACGTCCACATCATTCTCCGCAGTTGGCTGTGAAGCCTCTTTCCACACACGCCCCGCGCTCTTTGTCGCTTCTCTTTGTCGGTGGCCTGGCAACACCTAAGGCTGGGGCGAAGCGCGGCACTGCTGCTGGAGACCGCTGCAACTCTCGCGCGCAGAGCGCTGCCGCCTCCTCCCTCCCCGACTCCCTTGACCCGTGGCTCACGAATCGTCGCGTGTTGCGCGCAGGCGGCGTCGCCGTGAGCGGGCTGGAAATGTCCCAAAACAGCCTCCGCCTGCAGTGGTCCCGGGAGGAAGTCGACGAGCGCCTGCGCGGCATCATGAAGAACATCTTCGCCTCCTCCAAGGCAGCCATGGACGAGTACGGCACGCACCTCCAAGGGGGCGCGAACATCGCCGGCTTCCTCAAGGTGGCGGACAGCATGCTGGCACAGGGCGCCGTCTGAAAGGCACCCCTGTTTCGGGATTGGTTCACGGCATGACGGGTGGGCATGAGGGTAGCCTCCTTGTGCTTTGATCGAGGTGGAGGGGCGCTCCGACGGTGGGCGCCTCCACACGGGCTGTGCAGTTTTGAAGTTCGCGGGGGCGCACAATGGGTTTTGAGCGCACGACGCTTTGAAGCCGCGTTGATGTCGTCAGCAGTGGCTTTCGTCGTAAAGGGGGGGGGGAGATTGGGGCCCAAACCCGCATCGGGGGTTTTTTGGCAATTGCGACAGTGAGGGGCGGGGACAAACGGAGCCGCTTGGGCTCAAACAGCGCCTCAGGTGCCTTGGCGCCCTTTGGAAGCGTTGTGGTTCTGTTTGGCAATTTTGGTAGGGCCAAGGGATGCGAGTTGGCTGCTCGTTCGGCGTCGAGGGTGCTGGCTGGAGAAGGACATGCGAAAGAGGACGAGCGGCGACTGTGGGGAAGATGCGGTCGCTGCTGCTCGCGGGGCCATGAGCAATGGACAAATGAGTGCTGTGATCAACGATGGGTGATGTTTAATGTCGAAATTGTCCTCGATCCGCCCCGGGTGTTGGGTCGCGGTTGCTGGCTGCTGTTTAGTTCTGCAGGTTTCGGTACCCCTTGGTGGGTAGCGCAGCTGCCGGCTCACTCGCGGATGCCCGGCCGAGGTCACGCGCTTGGGTCAGGCCCTCGCGGCCAGAGTCGGACTTGGTCAGAACCCCCAAGCATTGATTAAACGAGTGGCCCACTTTATATAGGCGTGTTCCCGATGGTACTGCCCCTCGAAGGTGTCCCCGTTGACGGACAGCACCCTCCGCTGCGAGTCCAGCCATGACACACAGCTATGTCATGCTGGTGGGTTCCGACTCCAATGAAATCCCGCGAACTCCCACGGAACATCCTAACCTCTTCACATCTCCCAAACCTGCCACCGCGTCCCCCGTTCCTACCTAAGCCACCCTTCCTGGACCCGTCCGCCCGCCGGCGTTCCCAGGGTCCCTACCCGGTCACTACCCCACTACCCCTCACGCCCGCGTCTCTGCCAGTACTCCCTCAACCTTCCCACTAGACTCCCGCACCTCCTTTCCTAATCACACCCTTTCTTTAATGCATCCCTTTTACCCGGTGATCATTCCCCACGAACAGTTGCACGCCCCACTGCAGGCGCGGCAGCCGGATTTGGAGCGTGCCCATCATACTGGCATTGTACTATTGCTAATGATAATGAAATACTTCATACTTGAAGTACTAGTTTGGTTCAGACGCAACCATTTCGTTTTCTGGCATCATCTGTATCTTGCGATCGCTGCATTGAGCCTTCCCGTGTTTGCACGTCAGGCGCTAAAATTTTTGAGCGCTTTCCACACCTTGTTCAACAACTGGTTTTGGCACTGGCAAACGCGAAGTTCAAGTACTTGGGCAATTTCGGCGCAGACCTGATCGCACCATTGTTGATCGCATACTTGTGCAGAGTCGACTTAGTCCATGAAGAGTCCACAAACGAGTAAAAATGGAAGGTCCTATCTTGAGTTCGGTGCAATTTTCGCTTGACAGGCGCTGGGTGATGGGGTTGGGTTGTGGGTGCGGAGGAGCTGCGGAGCCAAGAAATTGCATGGCCATACTAAAATCAACACAAACAGGCAAGGTGCCAGAAAGGCTTCGCCTACCACACAGAGAGAATGAAGTGCACGTTTTCATTCCGGAAGTTGTGCACGACGGGCATGCCATGACAGGGCTAGTTTGGCGTGTGCCTGCTCAATGGCGCCGGGCTGTGGGACACACCGTCCATTGCTTTTCAGCTCCTATCGGGTGTGTGCGCAGTGGGGCGGATTCGCGCTGGGTAGGCACACGAGCTAAAATGAGATATCGTGAACAGAGCTCGGGTGTGATAGTGTTTCGGTTGCGAGCTCAGGCTGTGAGTATTGGCGCACAGGTACCCCGCATCCTTGATGCTGGTGCGCCTAATGCATGTTCATCAACAACGTTGTCTAGATTGGTGTTGAGCTTTGCAGCATCATTTCGCAAGTTGCCTTGCAGAGTGTGCAGCAGCTTTCAGCGCTCAGTCAAGTACACGAGTCAGGACGCGCCATTGGCTGTGCAAAGCGCAGTGCCGCGCCACACCATGATATCAACGCCCTCAACTGCACAGCGCCGATCTCTTGGCTCAGCTCAAATTTGAAGTGCATATCTAAGAAGCCGACAAGGAGAGATTGGGAAATTCCGTGGCTTGAAAAAGGCACAAACTTCCAAGACCCTTTGCACCACACACATTACCAAAGGTGGTGGCTGCCACAAATTTGCCGTTTAAAGAGCTATCATATTGTTCTGTCCATCAATTTCAGCGCCTTCCCCGTGCCATCCATATGCCCCATGTACAGGAGGCTAGCAAAAGGTGTGCTCAGATACGGTGGCGTCCGTGCCATGCCGGATTGAGGCACTGCCGCTGCATCCCTCCGCACCTGTTATCCCTTTCAACACGCCCCCACATGGCCCAGAAATCAGCCCGGAGCCGTGGTTGTCGAATATCAGGACCAATTTCTTGTGACTCTGGATCACTGGCCACGCTGTCAAAATGGCAATGACCTGCAGCAAAGCGACCACCATTCGCGCTGAGAACATCAATCTGAAAGGCAATTTTGTCTTTCCACCAAGGTTCCAAATTCATTACGAAAAACTCAATCATTTACATTGAGTACGGGGCCAGCTGGCGTTGGCCAAGCTTGTCACCTTATGTAATCCGAGGGCAAATTGTACAGGTATTCCGTGTCACCTCTGTGAAAGGCATAATTTGCACAGGCAACGAGCCGTTTGTGCCGTGCATAAGCAACAAAAAGATGCAGTAGCTCATGCACTGACAGTACCGAACTCATTTCAAGCTCGATCTCGGTGGAAGCCCAAATGCTCTGCCCACCTGCCATGCGGAAATGGCGCCTTGGCATCAAGAGCTTCCTTCCCATGTGCACTGGTTTGGCTATTGCGGCCAACTTAACGGTATCCTTCACGAGTGTGGAGCCATCATCTCTAGTGTTGTCCGGCACATGGGGGCTGCTTGCATCCCCAGGCCCGCTGTCATAAACGCCCGTCCTGTTGGAATCCACGACCATATCCACGGGATTCTTGCTTGCGTCACATCCATCATATACTCTTCTTCCTCCGTACTTACACGTTTCTTTGAAGTTGGTCATTATATTGTCCTCGAGTCCACTGCCGTTATCAGGCCTTCGCAGCAGCCTCTTCCTTGATGGCATTAATGGCTGCCGAGCCTCTCCTGCCCACCGTATTTGATAGGGCCGAAATCTTGGGCCCCGTACCGTACTTCGACCATATCATGCTATTGCAATGACCGTAGCTTCATTGTAAGCTGAAGGAACCGCTATAGTCCTGGCAAATACAATCATCAAGGCCTTCATGGATTGTTGACTGGCAAGAGTTCCTGTGGCGGCTTTCGTAGCGAAAGCGGTTGCTTTTGCCTCCGCAATAATTGCCTCGACGGGAGGATGCGCGAGGCAGCAGGTGCAATAGCTTTCATGGTCCGAAGAGCACGATTCATACGACCATCAGCCCCTTTAAAGGGGCAAAAATTTTCGAGTTGTTGTCCGCTCGGGCTGCAGCAGGAAGGATAAGGAATGAAAGCGCGCGATGGAGATTGAATCTCACCCCAAACGTTGATCACTTTTCCATACTGTTTTGCCTTGAGATCCTACTCTTAGGAGTACTGCATTAGGAACACGAGGTGATTAGCATAAAATTCAGGTGACGTTACATCATGTAGTCATATATATATATATATATATATATATATAGCACATGTAATCATGAGCCGATTACCTCCCCAAGGGCTCAATTTTCATCAGACGAACTCGCATGGTGGATATCCGCATTTGCGCAGCATTCAGCTGGATTTCCTTGGAATCTAAATGCCCCAAATTTGGACTTTAAAGTGTGAGATGGTAGTAAGACAATAAACCACGGTGCGACGCGAACAGTTGCGCAACAACGCCAAATTCTCATACACATGCGCAAAGGCCGCCGTACAAAACTGGGCTCCGCAAGGTCAAGGAGCGTGCGCCAACGTGCTACGCAAGTAGCAGACTTGGAAAGCTGCGCGCCGAGTCCCGTGTCAGGTCATTTCGCGAGAACAAGCTGCGGCGGCGAACAAAGACCAAACTCTCGGGACGCGGCTGTAATTGTCATTTTCCGATTAGTAAAGGGTGTTGCTGGTCCTGAAGTCACAAGGTTGATCGACAGAAGCCATTGAGAAGCCGTCAGATCACGGGCGCAAGGGGCATTTGTACCCGAATACGTCGGACGAGCCGGTCGCTACTGGTCCGGGTCAGCAGGGCGTGGCATTCCAGGTCAACATCCATGGTGGTACGATGTGTCCTTGAGTACACCCCGGCGGCTAAAGATGTGCGCAGGGAATTCCTCGAGAGGCCGCCTGTGTTGCGGTCAGTGCAACTTGAAGAAGCACCGCTTGGGAGAAGCGGTAAATCCCAGTAGTCCGACGCCTGAATGTCGCTCTTGATGAATCATCAGCCGGAAACAACACCTCTGTCCACCCGGAAGCACAGGTGCAATCCATCAAGAAAGATTAACCGCAAGGGCGAACAGGTGGCCGTCAGGGCCCTATTCTGATTTATGAGAGCATTGTCCTTTCTTTGCAGCGAAAACCCAAACCATTGTCACAACATAACCAGCCATTAAGCCGTTGTATTCTAAAACTCAGAAATAGTTTCATGAAATATTCATCAAATTCATTATTAAGCAACAGATGCAGCGCATTTTCTGCGAATTCCAGGAACGAGATATCACACATGATGGCCAACATAAATCAATAAATTTCAGCTCTCCGTCTAAGAGCACCGTCAAAAAATTGTTTTTCCATCGCAAAATTCCAATGATGAGGTCGAGAGACACATTGCTTGGCAATCCCGGTATTTCTCCCTTCATAAATTCCCCAAATCGTGTCCATAAACTGAAGTAGATGAGCATGAGGCAAATT